CGCTAACTATCTAATCTTACCTCAAGTTGTACTAAAATCTCCTCATAGTACATAATCGTGTTTATGAAATTAATTGTCTTCTGCTGAGGGTCTGCCCGTTGGTCTATCATTATTATTGTTTGGTTCGGAATCCAGTCGTCTTGAATGTCCTCTACGATCTTCACACAGCTAGTCAAAGTTTGTATTCTAGTTTCAAGTTGTTGCTCTGTGAAGTATGTAGTATCCAAGAGTGTAGTTGTATCCGTAATATATGTCTTCAAGTGTAGTATGGTAGTCTTCAAGTCAAGTTCAAGTTTTGAATTCATTCTCAGTTGATCGTTGAAAAGTTTCAAACAAGTTTAAAAACTTCAAGAAAATAGATGTAAGAAAGTTAAAAAAGGTTAAAGAAAAGAAGTTAAATTTGAAGAAAGTTGTAAAAAGTTAAAGCAGGTAACCTCGCTCTGCTACCATGTCAGTTTACAATCTTAATATTTTCTTAGTTACCAAATAAATACTAATAAAAACAAAACACAGCTGTCTAAAGACATTGTGCAACACCATCATGGATTTTCCCCCCTCTTGTGCCACTTAATATTCAAGCATAAAACCAGTTCTAAAAGTGATAAAATCATGCGGTTTGTTCCAAATTGTTTGTCAGGATGTAATTCAAATATTTAAAACCAGTATTAATAGTTGTGTATGGAAATTTAACATTTTTATGCAAAAAATTAACGAAAAATTATTGCAGAGCAATACTGATCCTGCATTCAAAATTGATTTAAGATCTGAATAAATTTTGTAGAACAAGTCAAGACGCACAAGAATGTGGAATTATATCTGTTTTTGGCCTATAAATACGCCATCATATTGATGTTGAATGTGCGATTGCGGCCCAATAAGTTTTAGACCACATCGTGGTGGTGACTGTTAGAATCCTGTAAATGGAACGAGTTCGCATGGTGCATGCTGAAGTGAGGGAAGTTGTTTCAACAGTAAAACCCTTTGGGAGATCAGACAAAGTACAGTCACATTCAGCCATGGAAAACGTGGTAGGCGTGGGCGGGGTGAAACTATTCCTATCAGCTATTCCATATAGAATCATGTGCGTTGTCAGTAATTTTTCACAGTTGAAGTTATGTTTTGAATATGAGTTGGCACCATTACCATCAGCATTATTCAACGATGTGAACATTAGAAACACCAACAGGGTTGCGTTAAGGACCATGATGGAGAAATTGTGTCCTCCAACGGAATGTCTTCCACTAGCTCCAAACTTTGTGATTGGTGGTGGGCATCTTCTTCACAGGGTAGTCTGGCCAAAATTGGCTATTTTCTCTGACATTTGTAAGGCAAACCAGACATATATAAGACAAATTACGGAAATCAAGTTGCTGTTGTTTTAAAAAAAACTGGTTCTCGGAAAGTACGACGAAGAATGCAGATCACACTAGGCGAACGTCATTTGCCAAAGCTCTTGTTGATTCTGATGTGAAAGTGGTTACAGCAGTAGATATCCCAGCAGCATCCTTTCTTAGGCAATACAACTAACAAAACAATGCCTAGTGTTCAATTAGTAAGCCACCTAAACAGAAACGGAATACAAACGTTCCATGTGCAAGCTGATACAGACCGTGTAATTGTCTAAACAGCCATCCAACTAGCCAAAAAAGGAAAAAAATGCTGTCATTGTTGTGGAGGACACTAAAGAAATTTGTCCTGTTATCGACCCTTATTGACCCTGACCCTGACAAAAATATCTTAATGCTCATTCCACTTTCAAAAGCTCATAAGCAAAAGATATTTTCATCCACGACACTGCAAAAAAGTATGGACAATGTCAACAAGCACTTACTTTTCCTGTATGCTATGTCCGGTTGCGATACCATGTCAGCACCCTACTAGAAAGGGAAGATACAAGCCTTTAATGCTCTGGAGAAATCACCAAATCTTCGCAAATCAGTTGATATGTTCAATCAGGCGGAAACTACACAGACGGAAACCGTCAAGGCTTGAGATGAATTTCTTAATTGTAGCCCTTTAAGGAGGAAAAACCGATGAGGGACTCAACACAACTTGATACTAACAGTACCTGAAGGCAACATTGAAACAACGTCTTTGACGTTGAATTGGACCTCTTACACTTCCACCGACTTCTGGGGCTGCTGCCCAGGCAGCACAAATATGTATATAATACGTATTAAATACTTTCGACCAGAGTAAATAATTTGTATATAACAAGTGAAAATTTAAAAACGTACGTTTTCATGTCCCTGGCCTTTTACTTCGTAGATACTGGATTTGTAGTTTATTATTATGTGTTTTAAAATTTGTTGGGACGGGGGCAACATGTTACACACATTTATTTGGTTTTAAAGAGATTCTAGGTATTTTATTCGTATTTTTAAAGTCTCGAAATTCACGACCATGACGTGTCCCTTGGGTACATTTTCCAACTTTCACGCTGTTTTTAGACTAATTATTCATGCCGAAATATATAAAGCCATATTTTTATGTCATCAATGGTTATTAAACTTACAAAAAAGAAGCATATTATAATTTTATTGTCATTGCAACCATGACAAAATAAGTCTGTCCCTCGATTTGGCGTCATGACCATTTGGGAAAAATTTTCAACTTTGGAGCACGACAGTGGCAAGCCTGGCGTCGATGGAGTCAGTTGGTTTTAGAGACTAGTTCGGGGTGTACGTCAGGATTGTAGTGCCGGTCGTTTTGAGTTGAAAGGAGAATTTACAAGATTAATAAAGGAAAGATTGTGTTTTTTGTAATTTTGGTGTGTCCATGACCATACGTAGTCATTCGATGAAGTAGACATGGTGTTAATTTTTGTTTATAAGATATTTCAATTGCTAGATTAACCTAGACCCCCAATCCACTTAATCACTTTAATCACTTTGTATCCTCGAACATGAGGTGCAGGGCTACCACCAGAACAGAGCCAAATAACACGTAATTTCACGACCAAAGTTTCACGACCATCGCGGTTTTTTTCACGACCAATCCAGCCTTATGGATTGTAGTGTGTTTGGTCAATAACTTTAATATAATTGTAAATTGAACAGTTTAGTTCAATTGAAACACATAGTTTTATTATAACTAACAGTATAATTTAAGGATTGTTTGGAAAGATTTAGATTATTCCAGACAATTCACGACCGTACCGCTTGTCCCTGACCATCACGTTTATGATTTCTATCATAAAAATTTCAAAAATTAAAATATCGTCATATTTCAATGTTTTATACACAAAAGAAGCACACCTCTATACAAACATAACGGTTTTTCGGGTCTCAGTTAAGTTTTTTCGGAGTTATACAAACTTAAAAAGATTTTATTGGCTTTTTTCTATTTTTTGAGTTTTTATATTTTTTTCTAGAAAGACCAAATATACCAAAAGCTCAGTGACCTTTTTATTGTATAATGGTCATAGAAGTAAATTAGTTTATAGCAAAACATAGATATAAAAATAATATTAACTATTTTTAATATTCATTTAAACGTCCGTTATGGTCTTGACAGGATTTTGTGTTTTTCTACTAAAGATGCTCTTTAAAAAGAAAACTACCAAAGATATTGCGTTGCCATGGACATTTGATGAAACTTCAAATGTTAATGAAATAAAAAAAATAATAAAAGTTTTGAAAAAAGGGGAAACAAATTTGCAAAGTGCTTTTCCTGAAAACGTACGTTTTTAAATTTTCACTCTAATACGTATAAGAAAGTAAATAATATGTACATATGTCACCTAGAAATACAGATAATATATGTTTTTTATGCGTACCAATACATATTTTATACACTAAAAATACTAAAACTAAATATATATATAATATGTATTGGGTCATACATATTTCAAAATTATGAACATTAATACCTGGAAACTCATAAGAATATTTACAACAAGGCTGTGTTCACACTAATCTCAAATGACAGCACCTTGTAAAATCTAACCTTATCACGCCATGCTGCACTCTCCTTCTTGGACAAATTTTAGGTGTGCCCCTGATGTGAACATAACCTATTTATTATTGGTTCATCAATAATATACTTATGTTAAACATATGGCTGGTGAATTTGAAAGTTTTTAGCTATAAAAAAGTTTAACTGTATAAAAACATCTAAATGAATATTTTACACTTTTTATATAACCATTCTGTGTTAAAATAGAACTCTTAAATAATGATTATGATCGTGTAAAAAAGAAAAGAGCGCTGAAACTATAAAAGAATAAAAAACCCTAGTTGAATTGTTCACCGTTCACCGGATTTACTCTACTTTTTATTAGTGATTTGGTCAATATGATCACTTTTGAAGAAGTAATACAGATGGCGACCTAATACATGTTTACTTGCCCGTATTTCCGTTGGCGTCGTTTGTTGGGACTGTTTTGACACCCTAAACTTCAAAGGAAATATTCTTTAGGTTCCAAACCCAGATATGGCTCATAATTACTTTTGATACTAGTGCAATTTATGAGGCAAAACAGCGCAACAAACTTGACACCACCAGAAAATAAATGGTATCAGCATTCTGACACATACATTCTCCCATCATTTTGTCAACAACCTTTATCATGTGTAAGCGGTGAGCAGGCCTTTCAACTGTCTTTAGTTTTTCGTTTATTGTATAAAGATTTATTTTATCCAATTAAATTATTAGAACAAATTACTTTTTCAAGATAAGAAACACATTAAGCCCAACTAATAAAATTTTAAGACACAATATTAGTATTATTTTGTAATGTTACACAACTATTCAGTTTTTGTTTACCATCAATTGATTGAGACACGGAATGGGAAAAAAACTCATAGGCTGTTTGTTGTAAGAATAAGAATATGTTATTTTTCCATCAATTGTACAATATTTAAAATAGTCATTTCTGCAATAGTCATGCAGTACATGAATGAAAAAATAAATAGTTCCATTTTTAAACTGAAAAATAATATAGAATACACTGCTTAATTTTGTTTTTACTATTGTAATTAAAAAACATGTACACAGCAAAGTTAACACAATACTTAGTCCCTGTGTGGTAAAGCTAGTGTGCCCTTAAGTTATATTACCAAGTTAAATTTGCTTAATCGTTCGTGAAAATGTAGGCTAGAATCCTTCTCGTCAGGTCCTCTACACTTGCTCCACCAACTGCCCGCAAATAATTAGCCTGGAACATGACAAACAGATTTTGAGAGAATATAATATTATTAATATTTACATCAACCCATAAAGTCAACACATGAATACATTCGGGACAATGACAAACCTAACTTTTTTTAAGTATATTTCAGTGCCATCATTTTGAGGCTATCCCCCCCCCCTCCTTGAACATATCAACACTTTAAGCTTTAAGCCAATTTTTTATATTTCTCTGTTAATGATATCTAAGGATTTCTTCTTATGTATTTCAAAATGTATTTATTTTAACATTATATGTCCATATTTATCTAAAATGTATTTGGTTAAAATAGGTTGGATGAGGAATATTGATAGTCTTCTAAGCTATGCTTAAATGTTTGGTTTGGTCAGGTTAAGAAATGTTACGTTGAGATAAATTGCATTAGGATTGGTTTGAAAGCATTTAAAGAGGTACAGTAAAGATAAGGTAGGTGAGGTCTTAAATATATCAACCTACAATAACAATTCCTAACCTGATACAAAATAAACTAACCATAACCACCACTAACTAAAGTACACTCTCAATTGTGCCCCGGTTTTACGGAAATCTGGGTTATTTACTGTGGTTAGTTCTTTAAAGGTTTAATTTCTATGTATGTGGTCAAGTAATGAAATGCATAAGATTTGTTATTTAAAATATATTTGTAAGTTAATTTTAAAACACTTGTATTGTTCTAACTTGTATATTTGTTAGCACAACCTTATTAGGAGCCTAGTAAATTTTACAGTGGTCATTAAAGCTTATTAAACCTTAACATACACATGAACTCCGTATTATCCTAGGTTCACGGTAAATTATAAGTTACCTCGGCCCTGAAGGTCTAGTTTAGGCTAAGTAAATCCTGAGTTACTGTAATTAAGTGTACTGTAACATTATAGCTAATGTATTCATATTTCAACACAATGATTAATGTAACTCTACTCTAGATATCTCAGCCCAACCATGTCAGCTTTAGTAAAGTTAATTTGCAGAAGTTAGGCCTACATTTTGTTAGGAATCGGAGCCGTTACAGAAAATGCATATAGTACACTCCTGATTATCCGAGGTCGTTACAGGCTTAAATTTATACTGTATCGACTGTATATATATTTTTTCAGTCGGAAAATGATAGCCTTTACGTATAGCGTTTACGTTTCGCGAGTCAACCAAGTCAACTCGTTATGTCCCGAGTTTGTAAAGGTTCAGCTTTCTCCGTATGAGTTCAGTTTCTTGACTCGCTTTGAGGCTGTGAGCCAATAGCGTTTAAGTTTTGCGAGTCGGACTCGTTACGTTCTGAGTTCGTGTAGCTTCGGCAATCTCCGTACGAGTTCGTACCAACTCGAGTTGTGAATGAGTTGACTCGACTCGGTTCTAGGCTCGAGTCAACTCGATTCGCCAACTCAACTCGTCACATCACTACTTCCAAGTACAACCCCTAACCTAAAAATCTATACAACCTCTCTGTGTTATCTGAGATTCTCGGTAGGTAACTGAGTGAGTGTAGCCAAGCAGTCCCAACACCCTTGATTAATCTGGAGTGTACTAACACACTAACAGTGAATTTATATTTAAGAAATTAAGCTTTTGACTGAGGGTTAAATTAAAATACAACAAGGACTGGTTTTAGAGTGTTCAGTACTAAATAAGGGCTGATAACTTCAAACTTCATAACTTCAAAAGTACCTAAGGTAAATTAGCCCTACCTAGGATTGGTGTGAACCTGGCAATAACTACAGCAATAAGTGGTGCGAGCCAATAAAATTTATTGCTGGCTGTTTTGCGGGGAAATACGTCCACGTACCATATTACTGATGATGTCAGCAGATAGAGGACACTTTAACGGACACGACAGTATCAACATTATGTACCTGGGGGATAAGTAAGGGGGGGGGGTAAAGTCAGCAATAAGTCGATAAAATCTATTGCTGGCCGTTTAGCGGAAAAATCTGGCCGCGTACCTTAGGCCTATTACTGATGATGTCAGCAGATAGAGGACACATTAAAGTACACGACAGTTAAAGTATCCTCTATCTGGTGACATTATCGGTAATATGGTACGCGGGGTTTTTTTCCCGCAAAACGGCCAGCAATAGATTTTATAAGGCGCGCTCACTACCGATTGCTGACTTTACCCCCGCTAACTAATCCCCCAGGTACATGATATTGATACAGTAGACCCCCTCTTAACCGACCTCGTATTAACCGATAATCGGATTATCCGCCTTTGATCGTAAAATAATACAGTTTGTTTTAACCGACCTTGCTTTGAGAGCAGCTCGGTTTAACCGCCGTTTTCTAGGAATCTCTGCATTTCCGCTCCCACGCTGGGCGATGAGAACTGAACCATACGCTTATCTCCACAGGATATGACTAACAATAAGTTATTTTGTGACGATCACAAAAAATATAGCATAGCCTATTGTCAGTTTGTCATCATCGTTCGTAGCTCGAGCACATCTGATCTGATTTGTTATCTGTGCGGCAAATTTATAACATCATAAAGTGCGTTACGATTTTGAGAACTGATTATCTTATCGCTGGAGTAAACAAACAACGCAACTTGGAGGGAGGGGTGTTAACAACTCCAAGGTCAAGATAGTTTTTGTGCCTCGAGCCTCCAGTGAGAGGCTATAAATAAACGTCCTGTCTTGTAACAAAATGGTCGCTTGTATCTTTAATGACGACAAAAGGTTCTTTACTGTATTACGATGTATTTGGAAAGCATTAATTAATACACTACAGTAGTAAAGTTATTAAAATAGGAATTTTATTGACTCTTGCCTAGTATTATAATATATTCAATGAAAGTAGATAGTAGCCTATTTGACTTAACCATGTTTTGTGTTTATTTGTGACATTTCTATCAATATGAAAAATGAGATAAGAGTAGTTTATTTTATAAATAATGCAAGTATGACTTCAAAATAATGATTTTATAATTCCAAATGAATAGCACTTTATTATGTTATGATTTTAGGGATTGCCCGTTTTATCCGACCTTTTAAATCATCCGACCTAGGTCCGGTCCGATTAGGGTCGGTTAAGAGGGGGTCTACTGTACTGTCGTGTCTGTTAAAGTGTCCTCTATCTGGGACCCTATTTTTGAAATGGTTGACTGTTGAGTTGAGTGTCGAGTCATTCTATTTCCAATCGTTTCGTATTTTTGAAACGGTTGACGGTGGACTTATACAACCAAAACTACTCAACACCTATCGAGCTGTTGAGTGGAGGTTGACTGCACTTTCTTCTTCCTCTCTTTCGGCAAAAAATTACTCTTTTTGAGACGACGCCATATTGTTTTGTTATTGCTTTAATTTATTAATTGCGATTTAGAGGTTATGTATTTGTTGTCAATGTATTAGCACCCAATTATGCGATTGTTTTCTGTAGAATAATCGCATTTTAATTTTATTTACTGTGTCAATACTAGACTATTTAATCAAGGGTTTTATTCTCGTTGGAATGTTTGAAATAGACTAGGCATACTTATTGAACTTATTATAAGATAATTATTGTTATTAGACCTATGATTTAAGGGATTAAAGATTGTGGTAGAGAGAAACAATATCATAGTTTGTTTCAATACCATTCACCTAATAAAGGGATCAAATTAATTTAAGTTACGATATGCTTTCAGTGCAATGGCAAATAGCCGCTTCAACCTAAATAAAAAAACAATTAAAAATAACATAAAACAAAAAACCGATGAAGAAAACTAAAATAAGGTGATGTGTTCCGAAATAGAGACGAAGAAAGCAAATAATAATGTATTTAGGATGAGTGTAGGACCTAAAGTAAAGTGCAGCCTATGCCTAAACTTATAATTAGCTACACCCTAAAACAAACATCCATAGTAAATTATATTTTTTATACTTAAGTTTATTACTTTATTTAGTTTACTTTAGTTTATTACTTAAGTTAAGGTACTTTACTTTGCAATCACTAAGATTAAGCAAGACATAACCTCAATCTCAATCTCTCAAGAACGGAGTTGACAGTTTACCTCAGTGTCTCGAAATATGGCAGATTGAGATTAGCTGCCAGATTTTAGAGTAAGAAGAGGTTAAATCGAAGTCCGCAAGAACTCTGCATTGTGATTGGTTCAAAATGACGTCATCTGAATTTTTGACGGTCGTATGCTCTACATTTCCACCACGAGTCTCTCAACTAGTGATTCCCAACTCGCTTCCCAACTGTTGGGTTTTTTTTAACAGTTAATAAATTACCTAAATGTATTAAAGTACTTACCTCGAACAGTTCTAGTATAATGCTAAATAGTAAATACACGTAGTTTGTTGATCTCGATTACACCGTTTACTCTCAAACTCAACTGTCGACTGTCATAAAAATAAAATGGCCGACTGCCTGTTCTTTGGTTATGTCCGGGTCGCTAATGAGATCAAGTCAGAAACCCATCTCCACTTAGAAAAGTTGCAAATGAAAGTGAGGGAGCTTGAAGAGGAAAACTCATCTTTTCTCACCCAGAATACCTGATCCAAAGGGTGCCGTGTTTCCCCCGGACGTGCTTGAGGCGGACAGTGCGTGAGGCGGACAAAACTGGTTCGGGTGGGTAATTGAGCGGACGTCTCCCTGCATCTACCCGGCTCGCGGGGAATATCCCCGTTACCGAAACGTCCGAGGAATTATCGCGTTTTGCCTCCCAGCGCCCAGTTCTTTCAACCACACCTAAGCTACCGAAGCAATATAGCTCTGATTTTGTAGGTTAATAGCTAAGAGACTATTTTGTATCTATAATTTCTAATAACCCAATTACAGTACCTAACACGTAGGCCTAGTCACATCTGGTTACTCCCCGTGGACGTCCAAATTTTTAATGTTAACATTTTAGAAGGGTTAGACAAATCGTTAAACTCTAAAATACTGTGGAATCTTCAATTTAAATTTAAGACGTGAATAGGTCTATGTGTTAATTTAGGATTTGTTGATTTATACAGGGTGAGTTTCTACTAAGTGCGTTAATTTTTACCAGCTATTCTACTCACTAAAAGGAACAAAAAATGACAAACAAAAATTTTCTATCCCCACCCGTTATGCTGTAATGGTCGATTTTGTGAATTTTTAAAATTAGGCCTACCTGTAGTAGCTTCACTAAAACGAGCATAGAAATTAAGCCAATACACGTACAGCATAATAACGTATACCAATCAAAAGAGCGTTATATTACTACAAAACCATTGCAACACCTTCAACATAAAACATATTTTCACCGTTGTATGTCTCACATAGCATAAAAAAGAAGTTTCAAAATTAATTCTTAACAACTTCAAAGTGGTTTTACAACTATACAAACTAATGTGATGTTTTGTCAAATTACGTAAAAAAACTTTCCCATTTCATGCCCTTTAAAATGATGTAACCCATAAGGTTATTGCCGTATTAAAAGTTCAAAAAATTAGGTCAAAACCACGTCAAGGTCAGAGTTTTCGGAATCAAAACATTAAACCAAATGTAATACAGTATCTGTTAATTTTGCTATCTTATGATCAGCTGACATCTGATCAGCTGGGAGTTAAACTTTGTTTACAAAACCAGCTGATTTCAATTGTTGACTTGTAAACATTCATATTATTAACTATTTCATGAACATACTTGGAAAATATTATAATTGTTTAGTGTGCTATGTCGGTGTTCACCAACGAAGTGTCTTGATATGATTTTATTTTCCGGGTTCTGTTCTCAAATGCGGCTGTAATCTGACGTGAATACAGTCGTCAATTTCCTAATAGGTGTCTTTCAAATGAACGAATATTCATCAGTGTCCATACAAGTTTCCATGGGCACTAAACATCAATCTGTTGGGAACGTGATACAAGATGTGTATAGTGTATGTGTTTAGCTGTGTCAGATGTGTTGGGGTGGTTTGAGGACGATCCACGGACAAGAACAAGGACAGTTTCACGTGACTTAAGTATTTCTCAGCTATTGATAAAGGAAAAATTGCATCCCTACCATTTTACACGAGTACATATTATTAAACCAAGAGATTGTCTACAGAGACTTCAGTTATGTTATTTGACTTGATCATCGTGACTTCCTCAAGTCGATTTTGTGGACAGACGAGTCCAAGTTTACTCGGGATTGTATTTACAACATCCATAATGGACATCACTATGCTACAGAAAACCCACATGTGATACACCAGTGTCGAAACCAAACAAGATTTAAGTTGAATAGATTACTCTAAAACCAGTTAGTTGGCCCTTTCATTGATCTTCAATATTCATTAAACTGCTGTCAGTATCTCAACGTCCTTACCGATACTCTACCAAGGCTCATTGAAGACGTCCCGTTGGATGTACGTAAGCGAATAGTTTAGCAAGCATTTGGTGCACCTTCCCACTTCAATAATGGTGTGCGAATTTACATTGGAAATACTTTCCCAATGTGGATTGGAAGAGGCCAACACAATTAATTGCTTGGCCACCACAGTCACCAGACTCCAATGGACTACTAAGCTTGAGGTTACCTCAAACAGGAAAATTACCGAACACTACTTTAAACAGCGAATGAGCTAAGAAATCGGACTTAAGCTTCCAACCTTCTTGAAGAGGAGCTAAAATTAAAGGCAACAGTGAGAAACTTTCGGAAAAGACTATATTTATGACCACATGTATTAGAGCAAAAATGGTGGACATTTTGAAAACTTACTTTGATTAAAAATCCAGAAACCAGACTCTACAGGATTCATTTTGTTTATTTGTACAAATGTACTAACCTCGATTTTTATCAAATTTATTTTGAATTTTTGTCATAGAATTATAAAATAATGAAATAGTTAATAATTTAAATGTTTAAAAGCCAACAATTGAAATCAGCTGGTTTCGTAAACAAAGTTTAACACCCAGCTGATCAGATGTCAGCTGATTATAAGATAGCAAAGAAATTAACAGATACTGTATTACATTTGGTTCAATGTTTTGATTCCGAAAACTCTGGCCTTGACGCGGTTTTGACCTAATTTTTCGAATTTTTAATACAGCAATAACCTTGTGGGTTACATAATTTTAAAGGGCATTAAATGGGAAAGTTTTTTACGTAATTTGACAAAACATCACATTAGTTTGTATAGTTGTAAAACCACTTTGAAGTTGTAAAGAATTAATTTTGAAACTTCTTTTTTTATGTTATGTGAGACATACAACGGTGAAAATATGGTTTTATGTTAAAGGTGTTGCAATGGTTTTGTAGGAAATTTAACGCTCTTTTCATTTTTATAAGTTATTATGCTGTACGTGTATTGGCTTAATTTCTATGCTCGTTTTACTGAAGATACTACAGGTAATTTTAAAAATTCACATAATCGACCAATTGTTTGTCATTTTTTGTTCCTTTTGGTGAGTAGAATAACCGGTAAAAATTAACGCACTTAGTAGAAACTCACCCTGTATGTTCAGGATTTGGCGTTACCGTAATCATCTAAAATGTCGACACGTTTAACACGTGCCACGGTCATTGCCACAGACCGAAGTATACATTTGAATCTTACACATAGACCGGCTGTTGTGTATTCATTGCCGGCTGTCACTTGGATAACAGTACACACAGACCACGGGCAAAACCCTGTAATACATCATTTACATTGTAATACGCTACAATTGTGTTTGTGAATAATTTATTCTTGGCTGTTTCTTTGTTTGTACTTTTTATAACCTTACACCTAAACCTTTTTATGTATAAACCTTTTTATACAGAAATTGAGATAGCACGCGTTTTGGCTTTCCTATCGTAATACTCGTTCCATACGATGAAACTAACCGAAACATTTATGATTCTAAGGCCCGATTTCACCAAACTTTTAAACCGCCGTTAAGCGTTGCTCTAACTGCAGTTAGCTCTTAACTGACGAAATCGGATTTCACCACTCGCCGTTAGCGCTAGTTTAGACTAAACCGTCGTTAGATAATTAACTGCCCAATTTTGACCAGTTAGCTTCTTTAATCTTTCGTTAAGTAAATATCAGCTGGCTTTAAGTTTAAAATTTATATGGAAAGGCGAAATGGTAGAAGAGAATACGGTACGAATTAGCTTTTGAAAGTAAGTGATGGCAATGAAGAGTAGCCTATGTTGTTCTACCAACTAGGTGGATAAGAGAAAGGGTTAATGATTTAAATAACAAAGATGAAATTGATTTTATTATTAGATATGAGCTATCAAAACGTTTAGCTTTTTTTTAGGGAATGAATACAAACCACTGTAGTTTGTGTTTAGGCTATCCCACATAGTGCATTGCTTTAGGTTATCCCACAAGGTTTTTAGTTAAGGCGTATATCTGTGATCAGCGACCGCATTGAACCACAGTCTAACAATAAATAATTTATACAGACTTTATTTATATTAGACTGTGATTGAACTGATTGGCGATCAAGAGCCGTACTCTTTTATCCCGGCTCTTCTACCAACATTATGAAATTTATTATTTCATTGTTCGAAAAAATAGGCTCCCTTTTCCTTCTACCGGCTTTGGGTAACCCTAACCCAACGTTCAAACAATTGTTTTGCGTTCGGTCAGATGTAAGTAAACCAAAATCTAAACCTAAATTGTCATTATTCTGCTAGTATTTTATAGAAAATAATTATTTTGGTGTTATCTACATTGTGTCTCGTTCTTGTAATTCTTTTGACTCCAGTTTTTTCACTACTTCAAATGTACCAAACTGGTTAGTGAACAAACAGAATATTGAACATCCCTGTAAAAAGTTTGATTTTGAGTCTTGACTCGACCGCAAAACTCAACCAATTAGTTCCTCGAATATGTTTGATCAACATTGCTTTGCCTTTATTTACTTATGTTAATTGCTTTGGTATTTATTCTTGCTTTCTGTTGTTATTTTGCTCAGAATCTTTTGTATTCCTGTAAGCTTGCTGTCTCCAGTTTTGTTTTCACTACCTCATAAAACTGATTTATTTTCTAGGTTATGTTTACTTGCTCCCGTAACAGCCCGGTATTATGACAGTTCACTGCCACTGCCACCTGGATTTTACTCTAAACTCTCGTTTATAAAACCAGCGTTAGTTTTGACGCGTTTTTGTTGGTGAAACCAGATTTCCTTAACTGTGGTTTAAATCATCGGTTAGTTTTAACCGAAGTTTAACTAAACCATCGTTAGCGAGAATTTGGTGAAATCGGGCCTAAGCAGTGTACAGACAAAACTCTAATTTTAGCGAATTTCCCATATAGGGACTAAGCAAAAATTCACCGTAGGTCTCATGGTAAGACACATGTAACACATGGTAAGACTAGACCCGGAACCGATTTACGTTATCGTTTTGAGGATAACTAGAGCAAAAATGATCCGATTTCGATGACATTTTGGCACAAACGTGTAAACCTACGTTTATTCGAACGAGTTTGCTAACCAGTTTTATGGGGTGAAAATTGATTTTTCCTATTTTTGACCCCGAAACACAATTTTTTTTTAATTTCTCTCCAAACCATATTGTAGATCTTTAAAAGTAAATAATTTTGTACTCGTA